CTGTAAGGGACCCGACCGATCCAAGAATTGTTTCAGGTGTGGCGGCTCGGGCCACAACAGGAAAAACTGTACCGCAGCAGAGCGTTGTTTTCTCTGCGCAGAGAAAGGCCAAAAGGACGCCTCATTAGGTCACATCCCAGGGGCTGGGCGATGCAGTGTTTTCAAGGCTGCACTCGACCTTGAGAAGGCTAGGTCTAGGAAGTGAGGATTCTCCAGGGTAACCTTGAGAGGTCCAGAACGGCTGACTCCCTCTTAGATCAGCTGGCCCAAGAGATCGGTGCGGACACCCTTCTGATCAGCGAGCAGTACTGTGACAGGGACCCACACTTCTGGTTCCCAGATTCTCTCGGTACTGCAGCTTGTTGGGTTCGAAACAGCACGGAAGCACCAGTGCAAGATCACGGACGCGGCCGAGGCTTCATTTGGGTCAGGTGTAGGGACGTCACGTTTTTTAGTGTCTACCTTACCCCCAACGAGCCGATTCGGAAATTCCGTCTGAAGATCGACCGCTTAGAAGACAGTGTACGGGGTACCGTTGGGCATGTCGTTGTTGCTGGTGATTTTAATGCTAGGGCTGTGGAGTGGGGTATGACCTCTACAAACTCCCGGGGGAAATACATCCTGGACTTTGCCGCCAGGGCCGGACTTGTCGTCTTAAACAAGGGCGACACGCCTACTTTCCGGCGCCCTGGCATGAGAGGTACGATCCCCGATATCTCCTTCTCGTCGGAATCACTACTAGCACGGATCTCCAACTGGAGAGTCATGGAAGACCTCACGGAAAGTGATCATCAGTACATCGTTTTTGATATACTGGATGAACACCATAATCAGGCGCCTGTATCACGATTTGGACCACGCCGATGGAATACGGACAAGCTGGATGTTGAAAAGTTCACTGACGTAACCTCACGGGGAGCGCTGGTGAATTCTGCTGCACCTGTTGACGCCAAGGCATTGGTAACGTCCACTTTTAATTCGGCGAGATGGGTCGATATGTTGAGCGTGTTGAGGAACAGCTTCCGCATACCAACATATCTGTTGAGGCTGATCGAGGACTACCTGCGCTGCAGAACTCTTAATTACGAAACTAAAGATGGTTCGCGGACGATGGATGTTACTTCCGGTGCCGCGCAAGGTTTGATACTCGGCCCAGATTTGTGGAACGCTGCCTACGACAGCCTTCTGAGATCTGAGATGCCAGAGGAGACCGTTTTAGTTGGGTACGCCGATGACGTCGCAGCCCTCATTGCTGCACGCAACGTTGAGCTAGCCCAACTGAAACTGAACCAAGTCAAGCGCGTTATAAACGCCTGGATGACTGATCATGGTCTGACACTCGCTCTGAGCAAGACAGAGATTGTCATCCTCACGAAAAAACGGATTGAAACCATCGTTCTGCTACGAGTTGGGAACGTAGTTGTCCAAACCACGCGAACCGCCAAGTACCTTGGTGTCATGGTGGACAACAAGTTGAGCTGGAGGGACCAGATCTTCCGTACGGCGGACAAGGCTGCTAGGAGTGTCGCTGCTCTTAGTAGGCTTATGGCCAATGTCGGTGGTCCCCGGTCCAGCCGTAGAAGACTATTGATGTCTGCAGTCCAGTCCGTGCTTCTCTATGGCTCTGAGGTGTGGGCAGATGCGCTTAACAAGGAGGCGTATAGGTTGAGGCTCGCACGAGTGCAGCGTCAGGCGGCACTCAGGGTCGCTTCTGCATACCGTACGGTGTCCGAACCGGCCGTTTTGGTGATCGCTGGAGTTATCCCAGTCAAACTCTTGGCAGCAGAGAGGAAGGCAATCTACCAGAGACAAGGCTACATCGGAAAGGACGGTGCAAGAACAGAAGAGCGCTCCCGCACTTTTCAGATGTGGCAAGAAAGCTGGGAAAGGGAGACTCGAGGACGTTGGACTGCCAGACTCATCAGGCAGGTCCAACCGTGGGTGGAACGGCGGCACGGTGAGGTTGACTATTACCTCACGCAGTTCTTGTCAGGTCACGGCTATTTTCAGTCGTACCTGCACTTGATGGCCAAAACGAATTCACCTGACTGCATTTACTGCCCATGCATTCCCAACGACGCGGAACACACTTTTTTCCTCTGTCCACAATGGGATATGCTTCGCCAGGAGGCCATTCAACATCTTGGGGTGCTGTCGATTGAATTGATCTGTGAGACCTTGCTGAAGGGTGAGGACAACTGGGACTGCTGGTCGCACTTTGTCCGGAATGTCTTTCAAGCTAAAAAGAACAATCTAGATCGGAACATAGTCTAGATTTGATAAGAAATAAATGGCTAGACACGGAGTAAGCCCCTCGGGAGTAGGCAAACTCGGCCTAGTTCTGATGAAGTGCAACAAGTGTTCCCAGGCTAGTGTCCGAAGAGTAGAGGAGGTTTTTAGTGGGTAGTCTCTGGGCCTTAAGCCCGTTGGAGTCCCACACTACAGGCTAGCAACCTGTGTGCATAAATGCATTTTCCCACCTCTCTCTAAAAAAAAGTTTATTTTAAGCTGCATTTTTTTTATTTAAAAGGAATTTACAGTATCCTGTTATTCAAAACCAAACATTTCTATTTTATCAAAGTTAGTCTATACATTTTTCTACAAACTAATTTATTAAAATAGTTGGGATTGATACTATAATCAGTTTTCAAAAAATTCGATAACCATCAAAAAAAAAAAATATGGTTTCCCCTCTTTAAATATAAACGGACATCATCAAAATGATTGGGGGTGTAGAGATGTAGGCTATAGTCAATGAGTAAACCTAAATGCTAACTTAGTGGATATTTTTTATCTTTGACACATCAAACAAATTTTAGGGGTTTGGGTCCCTCTTTCCTCAAAAACACAAATTAAATCAAATAAACCATGACTCCAAAATTAAAATTTAAAACACAAATTAAGGTGATGTAGGCTACTAGCCATACATACATACATATTGACTTTGATATTTTTGGTTTTAATAGATTCACTGCATTAACATTAAATTATTTCTCATGTCATCTCTTTGCATCTAGCCAATCTCAAAGGTAATTATTTTAGACAACACATTGGTTTGGAGCAATTTATTTTTCTGTTTCCAGGGATATTAAAACTCTTTATACGCTTTTGTTAATTACATACAACTTCTCAGTTCACGAGGATATAAAATATATGGATGTGACAAGAGTTAGGTTAAAAGTAACCTGACATTTGTAGGGCAAATGTTGAATAAGTTATCTTAATTACGTTAAGTTACGAAGTTACGTTTTTCGATGTTATTTCGTTCGACATATCAAGTTTGGTTAGTTAACTTATGTGAACCTAATCCAACTAATCAAATGAAATAATTGATAGGCCTAGGGCTTATAGGCCTATCGATATTTTTCATTTAAATGAGTGTAAGACAGAAAGGCAACTAAGTTAAAGTGCAAGCCATTGTTTTTGCCTAAACAAAAACAGTTGTTAAATTTAAACATGTTTGAAGATATTATAGCCTAAAACAGAAGGAATATAGACTGTAAAAACAAAAATTTTGATAAATTGAAAAAATCATCGATAATAGATGAGTGAACGAAGTGAACGAATCTATGTATTGTGTACAGCGGAGTCGGAGATTAGTTGCCCGCTTGTGGGTGTGTGTGCCTGTGTTCGCACCTAGCGTTTAAATTTTGCACAGATAATTATGACACTAGTGTAAAGACACCATTAACATTCTAGACGATTCAGCTCTTAGTAATTATAAAACCCTAATAATATGGGACAATTTTTAAACTGTTCCATAAGAGTAACATTAGAAGCTACCTTCTTCTTCTTTTTATTTGTTTACATTTTGCGACCAACAATTTTGTTGTCTAGGCCTACTTAAGACAGAGAGAACGACTTTTACTCTAAGCTCTTTCATTCAAGGAGTAAACAGTTTGACGTCCTATGAATATATATCATTATAATTTCACAACATTTAGAATAATAAATTGAACTTACAACATTAGTTGGCAGTTATATACCTACAGTTTATGTTCAGTGTTAAAATTCACATTTACAGTACAAATATATACCTATGTATATATTTAGAACTAAGAAATTTTTTATATTATTCTATTTAATGTTGGCATTGACTATTAAATAGTCCAAGATGTTAGTCTATTTTTATACTAAAATGCTATGCGAGGGAGGAAAACAGGTCCACGACGTAAGGAGTGGTGAAGGAAGTGGTAAAGGTGAGCAGTGTGGAGTGTAAAAACCCTCTGTGACAGTTAAAAAATGTATATCTGTAATATTAAAATACTATGGGAAGGGAGGGAAACAGATCCACGACGTAGGAATTGGAGTTGCTATAGGCCTATTTAAAAATGAGGGCTGCACTTTACTTGACGTCCTACACTCATTCGATTGTTTTTTTCGATTCGATATTTTCATTCGATTTTTTCATTCGATATATCGTTTGGTTAGTTAGGTTAGGTTAACCTTACCTAACTAACCAAACGATATATCGAACGAAGCAATCGATTAATCGATATATCGATCGATATTTTCATTCGAATGAGTGTAGGACGTCAAGTAAAGTGCAGCCAAAATGAGTATCAATTAGCCTCTTATTTTCAATTCAATAGTTTCAATCGATACTAGCATAGCCCAGTTAAGAAACTGTAAGTTACCCCGGTAATCAGTAATATTTGACTAACAAATCCCATGAATAGGCCTAGGATCTCATAGGCTAGGTCAATAATTATCTGGAACATGCTACGCCTAGCCTACTAAGTTTTAGGTTCTGGTTTGGTAAATGTATAGAAACTAATACAAGTTAACTTGTAAGTGCACAACCACAGAGATAATTAAAAAAAATACCTAGAAACATGTTTTCATTGATAAAACCACTGCGGTGACCTCTAAGTAGCGTTATCAGGTTAGGCTTAGATCGAGCCCATAACATAACCATACTTTTTCGATGGAGAAAAAGTAAACCAACATTTATGGAAGGAAAGAGCATTTTAATGATTTAAAATAAAATATTTAATTACCTGGGATTGTAAACTTCGCATACAGATCGCCATCGCCGAGGGTTTTGATTGAAAACAGAAAAAACAGAAACTTTTTGACTACGTCACAAGTTACAAGTTGTAGAGTAGACGACCCGCTCAGTGTGGCAACATATAAACTACTGAAGGAAGAAATTGTGTTACTATCCACATTACACGATAAAATTTGATCGTTTTATAATCAATTATCAATTGAAATTTGAAACGTCAATTTTAAAATTTTGAACTTTGACTTTTGACTATATTCTTCCTACTTCAAATGTTGTCATATTCCTAATCAGCAAAAAGAATTATTTCCTCATAAGTAAACATGTGATCCAACAATTAATAAACAGTTGGCACTTGGCAGAGAGATAGATTATTGTTTACGCTCTTTTATTTTTAGGTCTGTACCACGAATACTAGAAAAATATCGGTATGGATCATAAACATAAACAAATGACGTTATTGGCACGAATCCTGTACTAACAGCATTGGACATAATTTTTTGGCAGTTCCATTTAAGCAATGTTAAATAATGTTTATTTCCGGGCCAAAAACGTCATTTGTTTATGTTTATGATTCATACCGGTATTTTTATAGAAATCGTGGTCTGTACTATATTTTATTTCATTCGCCATCCTACACTTCCGATTTTTAGCGAATTTCCCAAGTAGTGGAGAACTACCGGTTTAAAAGCACTTGGGGCGTTTTTCCCCATAAGAATAACATGGTGAGCTTTTTTTTGCCACCAATTCCAAAAATCCTACTCTCGACCTATACAAGCGTATATTAATGTTCAATACCATTGTATAACTTCATTACTATTTCAAATCCACGCATTCACATGTATATTCTCAAAATCATCAACTTGACAGTGTGAGGTTTGTGCGCGATCCCTTGGACATCCTTAAGGTGCATTGTCCCTGAAGTGACTCTTGCGATAGTAGCTGAGCGACAGTAGCTCAGCGATAGTAGCTTAGCGATAGTAGCTTACCATGTCATTGTCCCAGAAGCGATTGTTCTAGAGCGATTATAGTTTGCTGACTTTCAAGTGAATTGGTGTTACTGTATAAGTGCCATGACACCAGCTAATTTTAAAACGTTTTATCAGCTCACTTTCTTGTCCGGTACAAACTTTGCAATCAATAACTAACTTCCCGACGAGCTAGAGAATTGAAACTTTAAAAATAGCTCACAAATGGATGACAATGCAATATTTTATAATATAATATTCATATTTCCCTTGGGCTAAGCCCCATGGACTTCCAAATTTTTCATGTTTAAATTTTGGAAGAATGTAGGACTAAATATATCAATTAATTGAAGTCAGCTGTAAATACTACAATTTGACTGTTCGAAGTGCAGAGGTTAAGAGGTACAGGTTCTGCTCCTGAGAGATTTTAAATATAAAATAAACAGCTCAAAGGAAAGATGAAACATATGATTACAGATAATAAGTTAGTAGGTTATGTATTAACAGGCCATGTAATAGCTATTTACCTTACAAGTGTAGTAAGAGAGTTTTTACATCACGCAGGTGAATGTTGTGCAACGAGCGGAAGCGAGTTGCATAATTTACCGAAGTGATGTAAACACGCTCTTGCGTAACGTGTAACGTACAAGATTTTACCTGACCCGACAATATACAGGAGGTTACGAACAATATTTTTCATTATCCATTTCACTCATCTTCTAACAGTAACGTTCATTTACAAACAAAAGCTAGGTTAGGAAAATTCTTCAAAACATAACAATAAAATTCAAGCGCGCAGCTGATTTCTAGCGTTGAACGTCGTTGGCTCCATAGAGGTATATTTTTTAAGCTAAGCACTCAATGTTATTTAAATGGGTTTCATTACATCACCGAGTGAGTTTTTTCCAACTTTACATCACTCGAGAAGTAACACGAAGTTATATACATCATGCTTGGGATAGGGAAGTTTATGGCGGGTTAGGTAAAATATATTTAACATATTTACACATTAAAGACTAAAAAGTATAAAATAATTATAAATAAAAATAATTTTAAAAAATACCACGTTTTTAAACGCACTAAAAGTAGAAATAATTTAAAAATATGTGGAAAGAATAAATACTTGTAAGATTTAAAACGAAAAACGTGGGGCGCATGCAATGGATAATAATAGTTTAATAGGTGAAGATAATTGTAAAATTAGTATGCGCCCCACGTTTTTCTTTAAATCTTCAAGTATTTATTCAATACATATTCTGTACTTTATAGTGCGTTTAAAAACGTTGCATTTTGAAAAAAATTTTTTTATTTATAATTTATAATAGTAGTGATTTAATATTATGTACATATCTCATATCTTCTTCAGAGGTAAAAAGCAGTTTTGTATTATTTGAAGACATTACGACCAAAACCCGTCCACACCTACAAATCGCTCAGCGACTGCGACTCTGACTCCCCTCAGAGCAGACCCGCTACAGTCGCTGTGTTCAGCCGCTAGCCGCTCCAGTCGCAGTCGCGTCAAGGACAATGGTCCCATTTGAAACAACGCTAACCAGTGCTTAGCTACTATCGCAAGAGTCGCTTCAGGGACAATGCACCTTTAGGCCGAGCGCACACGGTGTGACTGTTTTACAACTGCTTTTGCGACATCGGCAATGTATTGCAGTGGGGAGCCGCACACGACGCAACTGGTCGTTTGCGATTTTTAAAAAAGTTTGAAACAAGTCACATGCAACGGTGGGCCCGACGTTGCACCAACCAGTTGCACGAAACCACGGGGTGTTTTTGTGGTGTTTGGTGGAAATTTGTTGTTATTTTGACGGCCGTATAGTGTTCATCTCAAAATGAATGATCAAGAATTCAACTTGAAGCTCGTTGGAGAAGTGGAGAAACATAGTTCTGTACAACTACAAACTGCCAGGATATTCAAGGAAAGATTTAGCCTGATAAAGCATGGCAAGATGTGTCTGTTGAATTGGGTTTATTATTCTTTCCTGTGCAGGAACACATTCCCTCATAGTTGTGTCTATCTTCTCCAAGGAAGGTCCAACCAGTCTTGTAAGTTCCGTTCCAAAAAGGTGTCTTTTGTCATTCTGTAAAAAGATTTAAATTTCCTATCCGACTGTGACAACTCTCTAGCTGCTACAAACAGCCTACGCCTGACGTTATTTCTCAAATAAGGGTGAACCCAATGTTCCCTCTGTACCCTACGGTGCTTTCTGTATTCATAATAACTAATGACGTCTTCTTCGTCTGAGTCTGACATTGTTATTGTACTTAAAAACACTTAAAAACAAGGAAGGCCTTAAAAACAACGTCACTGCACTTACAATATAACACTCCACTGATTGCAGAATATACGCAACTGTACCGTGTGCGGACAGAAGCTCCTTTTCAGTTGCAAACTGGTTGCAGTCGCAACGGGTTTGCAACGGTTGCTCTCAAAACAGTCACACCGTGTGCGCTGGGCCTTAGTGGAAATCCATGAGTTCTGGCTACTTGGGAATCCAAGCCATTTGACATACAATAAATCACCCTTCCTCCTCATTACCTTTTCTATCAAATACATGTCTTTATACTGCTTGGTCTTTAACAACTCCTCTGTATAGAAGCCTCCCCTGATTATATTACCATTTTCATCTTTCAAGATATAAGTCACAGGCTTTGTATTCTTTACTTCTGCTATTGTAAATATAGTTCCCCTGTCCAATTCGGAGTATAACCTTTACTAAAAACATGTTTATACTTGGAAATCCTTACACTATCACCTACCTTATATCTTGGCTTTTTAACTTGTACTACTTTAGAAGTCAACCTCTCATGCACATATTTACTATTCTTAATATTCACTTGATTAGGCTTCATACCTATAGATCTATGCACCTTATTATTATATTTTCGAATTAACTATGGAAGTAAATCCAACCATTTATAACTTCCCTGAGCACTAAATTCCCTATATAACCAATTCTTTAAAGTTCTCTGAAACCTCTCCACAATTGCAGCCTTAGTTGTAGAAAAAGTGTGATAGTGATTAATATTTAAGTTTTTCATTAGTTTGCTAAAAATATTGATTAAAAAATTATTTTCCATTGTCAGATTGAATGTTTTTAACCCCCTTTGGTAGAATGGTTTTAATAGCTTCTGTAACCACTAACCCTGTCTTATTCTTTGGTGGAGCAGCATAAGCTTTTTTAGAAAATGTATCTATTAAAGTTAAAATATATTTATTGCCAGAATTTTCTCTAGCATAGTTTTGCATATCAATTAAATCTATTTGTATGGTTTCGTTTATACCCAATACTTTAAAAGACCTTCTAATGAAATTCTTTCTTGCAGGCCTATGAAGTTCGTATGAAATTTCATTCATTTTTTATAACATCATCCTTTCCTGTAACTCTAAATACATCACCATTAGCCCCAATCAATAGATTATCTTCCATTCTTTTAAATACATAGTTTTCTGGTATACATGGTCTATTATCTATATACTTAAATCCACTCAAAGATGTGGGGTCAGCAACTAATAAATCAGGATTATATTCCATCAAATTAAAAATTTTTTCTCCATATACAAATTTTGATCCATTGTAATTTATAGCTTGTGACATTAGACAAATATCATCCAAATGTTCCCCCTCTGGTAGATTCCTTATAAATTGTTTTTTGGCATCCCAACATTTTTCTTTTTTATCAAAAGTTATAGTCTGTTCTTTTATAACACAGTCAGTTTCATCAATGGCAGGTTTAACACGTACTAACCTTTTACTATAAAAACTCCAATAGCCTGCTTCCATTTTTGGAACTTGTGAAACACTCACAGCATCTTTACTATCTGTACCTTCCATCAAATTACTAATTTTCTGTTTCTTAGCATTCCAAACACCATTCTCTGATTCTAAAAATTCATAATTATTATCGTCTTGTACAAATTTACCATCTTCTTTTCGTATTAAAGTCTGTTGTAAAGTGGGCACATCATCTAAACTTTCACCCTTTTCTACATTAGTAATTTTCCGTTTCTTAGCATTCCAAATACCATTTTCTGATTCTAAAAATTCATATTATTATTGTCTTGTACAAATGTACCACCATCTGTTCGTATTAAAGTCTGTTGTAAAGTGGGCACATCATCTAAACTTTCACCCTTTTCCACATTAGTAATTTTCTGTTTTTTAGCATTCCAATTTTTATTCTTAGATTCT